AGCCATCAACGCATCTAAGCGTATTATGGGGTGTCATCAAATGCCGTTGCCATGGCGACAGATCATTCACCATCAAGTTAGTTCAAAAGTTTGCAGTTCAAATATTCTGCTGCTTTTCCAAGCCTTTTTACTTTCTTTTCTTCACTCATCACACATTCAAGCCCCCAGTGTTCATGTATCATTTCAATCTAAATTCTTCACTTTCTTCTTACACATTATATTTCAGCATAAAGCATTCCCACTAGCAATTTCTTCAGGAATTGCATTCTCTAGTTTAGCTTGTTGTGCATGTAAATGGTTTGCAAAGGCTAAAATCCCACAGTTCCCTCCAGAGGGAGTTTCTCACACACACACACACACACACACACACACACACACACACACACACACACACACACACACACACACACACACACACACACACACACACACACACACACACACACACACACACACACACACACACACACACACACACACACACACACACACACACACACACTTACACTTCTCCTGAGAGCGCAGACTAATGAGCATCAAACAGAATACAGCTTGTGTAATTGGTCATGAAAGGTGAGCGATCTGCTGGGCCTTCCTCTCTACGTTTCGAAAAAGATCAAAGGTGGCATTTAAAGAATCGTTCTATTGTTGATAAGCAGTTCATGACTCCATGAACTAATTATTCTCTCAGATCTGTGCTGAAGTGTCCGGCATCAGCCACAGATGACACATCCTCACCAGTACCTGGAGGTGGTGGTCTCCTTATAAAGTCTCTTTGATCTGCTTCTTCAGACCATCAGCCACACTGAGCAGCATTATTCATGGGAGCCTGCCTGCAGGCGCCAGTCTCAGGACACCTCCACTCGGAGGACACCTCCACTCTCAGGACAGGAAGTGCATGCACGCTAAGAATTACAAAATAAAATTGCCACTATCAGAACAGCGCCACTTTCTGAACAGGAAATGCACGCAAATACAAAATAAAATCGTACTGACACTTATTATATACATATGTATATATGTATATATATAAAAATAGGGACACCTTGTATTGTCTACTCTCAGTACAGCACCACTTTCCGAACAGGAAATGCACGCTAATACAAAATAAAATCGCACTGACACTTATTATATCTATATATATAAATATAGATATAATATCTATCTATATTGAGTCAGACGGTGCATCTTGGTCACGCTTCATATCGGCCGGCCCGGGAAGGAAGAGACACGCAGAGTGGGGGAAGTCCCCCACCCCAACGCTACACACCCTCCCGGCCATCAGAGTCGAACCCGCAGTTCGGAGTAACCGACCGCCAGAGCACCGGCACTAGGGCGGGCCGGTGGAGGCCCTCCGATGGTGGTTTGCGTTTGCCATTCGATCAGTGAGAGGAGAAAAATGCAACAAAAATGGTCAAAATCCGTTAATATATGGATGAGTGGGGGGGGGAACCGGCTGGACACAGGCCGTGGGGGGACACCCGAGACCGGGCAGTGTCCCCGGTAGAAGGAACCGGGTGAAATAGCCAAAAAAATAGGCACTCGTGAGGCGGGCAGAGTCCCCTGTCAACTCCCGTTACATTCCTCCATGGTGTCATTTGAGCGAAAAATGGCTAAGTCAACTTTTACGAGAACCAGGCTGGGGGGGTCAAAAGGGCTTGACCAAGGCCGACCCAAAGTGCATGGTGAGTGGACTAATCACCTCTGTGATGAGTCTCCATTGTGATTTGAAAACTTCCATCAGACGAGTCCTTCGGGGGGCGGGGAAAAAAACGTGTTCGTCAGAATCGTCACTTCCTGTACTGAGAGTGGAGGTGTCCTGACAGTGGAGCCTACACCGGAACTGTCCTGAGAGTGGAGGCCTGCAGGCAGACCCTTCTCGCATTATTTGATTTTCCTTAAAACCAATTTTAAAGTTAATCTTATCCTAATGTTACCGTCATCTTCATATTTCCTTACTCAAGTAGTATGTTTCTGACATAATGCTGCTGCTGAGAGTTAATTAGCTTTAATTAAATCTATAATGCTTTAGACCTCTTGTCAAATCAAGATGACAGTATCAGGCAATAGCTTATTTTCAACTGGCTCTTTTCAATATAGTGCTGCTGAAAACCTTTTACAATGTTTAAGGCCAACATAAAAATCCCAACCACTGCAACAGCATCCTTTATGGTACACATCCACTGGCTCCCCGTCTCTTAACGCATCGATTTCAAAATCCTGCTCCTCACTCACAAAGCCCTCCATTACCAGGCCCGTCCTGCCTCACCAACTTGCATCCACCAAACTGGTTCCCGCACCCTCAGCTCATCAGACGCCGACCTCCTGTCACTACCACACAGGACCAAGCACCGGACATGAAGGGGATTGAGCCATCTCCATCGATGCACCCTCACATCTGTGACTGCACCAATCGTTCTTTATTCAAATAACAAATACAAACTCACCTCTTCAGAACTGCGTTCAGAGCAGAGGGTTGTCCTCCACACGGCTCTCAAGACAACAACAACAACGCAACAGTGCTGTTAGAAGTAACCTTAGGGGAAATGAATGGTGGGCTTCAGATTCCATTAGCTAGCCAGTAGGGCATGAGGACCACACAGCTAAACCTCAGATATATATGTAATTAAACATCACATTTCACATAGAGCAATGGGGAATATTTAGAAAGCCTTCTCTTTGTGAAATGTTGCTACACAAGACCTGATGCTGGGATGTTAACAGATGTCTATGTCTAGAAAGCAAAGGAGTGTTACAAAAATGCCTTCTGTTGCTAAGAAACAAATGTTTTGAAACTGAACTTGAGCAATAATCCCTCAAGAATGGAAGATATACATGAGGACATTTTGCTCAACTAAACAATAAGTGTTATTCTGCATTCACATGATGCACTTTGCTCACCGCAAGGTTGGGCGCAGAGCCTTGCAGTGGAAAAAGCGAGTTAAGTTTTGTTTCTATGGTTACCTCACCTGCTAGCTAGCAGCAATACATACAGCTGTCATCTAATTGGTTGCTCGTCGAAAGATATTATTGAAATAATTTGAACTTCGGGCGCAGCGCTCTGGGACAAATTCACACCTTCCTAGTCTCTCCATAGAAACACAACTGCAACATCAGTGCAGAGCCGTTTAAACACATATCATGTGAATGCAGCTTTGGAATGAATACATAGGTGTACTTAGGCAAATCCAAATTGGAGGACGGAACGACAAAGAGACGGACAAATTGAAGCAGCAGTTATAGGGATACACTGACTAACTGACTAACTAACTTACACTTATTATAATACTTTTATCCTTAGAAGTTCCCTGCCAGCTATATTGGTAAATGCCACTGCTGTGCTCTACCCATCACCCTGAAGCGTCTCCTCACAGAACAGCCACTTGTCATGTGCTTGGATATTTAGGAGGATTGTTTTAAAAGATGGACTGGATTCATGCCAAAAACCAAAATAGGTTTATTGTTTAAGCATCAGAGAGCTTTCCCTGGGCACAGAGTAATACATAATGTAACACTTTATTGGTCCCTGTAGGGAAATTGTCATTTCTCTCAGCCTTGTGTATGTCAGATTACAGGGTAAGACTCTTTAAAACAGGGATTCTGTGGGACACTTCAGTAAGGTGGATGCTTGTCAACTTGTCCCTACTTATTGTTAGCCTGACTGTATTAAACTTCCATCATTTGTCAGTCCATGTTTTCAAGTTAGCAATCCCACTTCTTGCCAGTCCCGTTTGAGATGTAATTCCTCTCAGTGCTGCATTTATTTCTTGCTACTCCCTAAGACACGAATGAGATGCCTAAAAGCCCATGTCAACACATTCAGATTGTAAATACAAAATGGAGAAAGTTGTCCTGTATGCAGGAGAGGCTAGGGAGGTAACATGTTTGAACAGCATGTAATCAATGCTAGGCTTATAGTAGTGTGTGTGTGTGTGTGTGTGTGTGTGTGTGTGTGTGTGTGTGTGTGTGTGTGTGTGTGTGTGTGTGTGTGTGTGTGTGTGTGTGTGTACAACAAAATACAACAAAAAAACCCAGTCTGACTTTGATCTCGACTTTGGAACACTTCACTGACAAATACAAAACACACATAGCTTTCAGGCGTTATAGACAGGACCAAAACACACTGTGTATCACACGAATACACAAATATCAATAAAATATCCCTTAATCACAATTTCAGTGCAATTTTTAAAAATCCAGACAAATTGAATGTCACTATTCTTTTAAATCTCCATTTAGTATATGTCTCTCAAGTTCAATCCACCTTAAGTTAAAAAAACAAGATCTTACCTGTAGGGTCTGAGGCAAGATGAGTAAAGGCAGCAAACAGGTTGCTATATCAAATAAATGTCTGAGCCAACATCCACAAGGCTTTGGTAATTAGTTCATGGAAGGATTCATACAAAAGGACACTGAAATCAAATAAAAAAAACATACAAAGAAAAAAGCCACAACAGAAATGGCCACAAACAGCTGTGACATTTACAGTACATGAACATACCTGAACATACCTGAACATACCTGAAGACCAAGGACAACTGTAGTACCGGTTGGTACTATAATCTGAGTAGTTTTTATAACCCACAGTACCATGTCTTGGAACGTAAAACAGAGTGATAGCTGAATTGGAAGATTTGACCTAACTCAAAAGTGGTAAACCAGATCAAAGTGGAAATCCTTAAGGAGCACAAATGAGTGCAAATTGCTGTGTCATGAAAGGAAACTCAACCAACCCAGGGGGGAAATGAGGTAGATTCAAGGACTGAAAGAGTGAAACATCAATCTTCATGAGCTTGTATATTAAAATCTGTAAGTGTATGCGTGGGATATACTCATTTGATTTCACTGTTTGTTGAAGGACATATTTCTGTGTGTGTGTGTGTGTGTGTGTGTGTGTGTGTGTGTGTGTGTGTGTGTGTGTGTGTGTGTAAAGAAAGGAAATCAGACACAGAGAGGGTAATAGGGGGTTTGCGAGAGAGCGAGAGAGTGATTATTCCTACCTCAAGGAGCTGTACTCTGACTTTGTTGTACGCTTTCAGCCAGCGAACTTTGGATGGAGAGCAGGGTGGAGGGCCATCTTCAAAGAAACTGAGAAAATAAAGCAAGAAAGAAAATCAACAGGTTCAAAGGGAAAAGTTTCAAAAAGCCATGATCAAATTGAAATACATCCCCTGCATCTTGTAGTTGTAGGACTGGTTGTGTTGAAAAGGGAAGTCTATCTTAAAGCAAAACCAAACTAACAAAATGCAACTTTAAATATTGAAATGTTTCACGAAATCATGCAAACCAAGATATCTATATTTTTAACATACCACATTTTAGCCTTATCCTGGTTGTCAAGGATTGGTTTAGGAAGAATGATCAAAGATTCATGCAAGTCTTTGTTGGAACCAGGCTCTGGAAGCGGATGCAGCTCTTTCTCAAACTCTTCCTCATTTTCTTCTTCATTCCAGGAAGACTTCTGGCTTTCCTGAGGTGGTCTCAGAGTGCTGGGGGGGTTCTCTGGATCTCGCCGCTCCTCAGGTTCAGAGCTGAGCTGGGAGCTGGCCGGGCTGAGGTTGCCTGATGAATCAAAGCGACTGCAGTCCGGTGGACTGTAGGAGAATGATGTTGTTATTTAGAATATGGTGGTGAATTGTGAAAGCAATATATCGTTTAGGGAGCGTAGATTTGAAAGTTGAATTCTCAAATTCAGTGTTTGTATCAGTATTACTAATTGAATTCATGGTAAAAAAAACAACTGTAAATGGCTGACACTGAATTTGGAAATGAACTGTTCGAACTGTTCATTTGGGGGTAAAACTCAGGGTAAAAGTAGCATCAGATCCAGGGAAGAAGGTGACATGAAACAAGGGATGAACAGGATTCAGTTGGGTCTTGAATAACTGAAGCGATTGCAGAAATGTTCTAACAATTAGGTCAAAAAAGGGGTTGACATCAGCACTGGGAGGTCCTCAGCATTTAAAACAAATGGTGGTCATACTGCTAGTTTAAGCCGGTAATGACACGTTAATAAAAAACGGAGCTATTCTAGTTGACACTGAAGATCCTGCCTAAAAGCAGAATCAATAAAAACGTTTAATTCACCTACTCTAACTGCAGTAAAATGACAGGATCTACCAATGCATGTAAAATACAATGATAAATGCATATTATTTATAATCCTTTAACCTTTTAATAAGAATGAAAATGAAAGGTTAAAAACTGTGTCGGAGCACTGGGGATACACTTAACCTTCCTGGTAAAAATTGTAAAGGGCTGACTGGATAAGAGAGTACTCTGTGGTTGCTGGATGATTGAGCCTGCTAACAGGGAAAGTGCTTTGTGCTTTAACAGGCATGATTTACTTTGTCTTGGGTGCAGGCCAAATGACTTTTCACTGGTCCTTTTATTCCAGTGTCCCGCCTGCCCTGATGGTGTGCATGGCCACGCCATCATAAATCTATCAGAGTTTTAATTCACATAAACAAATTGGCTAAGGCTTGGAGAATAATGCAGAGAACTGCAGAGGACAGAGGAAGGAGGGGCTTTATAGACGCCTCACACATGAAATGTTAATAAATAAAGACTATTGGTTTCTTCATTCATTGTATCATCACTGTCAGGGAAAGCTATTATGGGGTGCTGTATGTACAAAATAGCTTTAGTACATTTACACATAAGGGTGAGCAAATTTCAAGCAGATAAGGTTATTTATTTTTCCTGTGACTTTGTTGATGACACTTGTATCAAATGTACTTAAAACTATCTGCATTCATGAGTTGGATAAGCAGTATATTTTAAGCAAGACATTTGTTTGGTTGGATTAAATAGAAAATGTCTTAATGTTACAGTATGCATAGGATCTTAGAGTTGATTTGAGGAATGGGAAAGAGAAAAATGGGAGAACACAGAGATAAAGATAGCAAATGTGAAAATAATGACTAAAGGGGATAGGAGCAGGAAAGGAGGTACACAGTTGTCTACCTAAGCATGATAAATGACCAATGCAATTTATCATACTAATTGTACTAGCCTTTTTGCGTCTTTGTTTGTCAACAGGTCCTTTGGTTGCTCTGTCCCCAAATCTGCATGCATCGTGTCAGGTGTGTCAACATCATTCTTATCTACCTCACATGGGGTGATCTTTAACTGGGGTTTATCCAATCCTTCTTCTAAGGAAATTGACAGAGAGGGGAGGCCAGACTGAGGTGACTCTGCAAAAGTGTCACAACTTCCTGTGTTTGAATTTTCTGTTGGTCCTTCTGTGTCACTGGAATCTGCACTTTCAGTTTCTCCAGAGCATTGGGAAAGTTTCTCAGGATCTAGCTCACAAATTTCATCCGTAGGTTTTGGTCTTTGGGACTGAGGTTGGACTGTGACCACTACAGGTTTAGGAGGGTCAGAGTTCCCGAACATTGAGCCAAGTTTCATGCCAAAAACAGAAGAAGCAGATGATGGTTCTTCCTTTGCAGATGGCTTCTCATCCTGAAAAATACCAGCTGAAAGGCTTTTAAAACCAGAAAATAGTCCACCATCTGTCTGTTGTGGCTGTGGTGTCTTTGTACCAGTTGCTGGAGAAGAAGGGCTTGAGAAAAGGGATCCAATAGATGATGTGCCTTCAGCAGCTACAGACATAAAGCCAAATTTAGTAGCAGTCAGACCAGGTATTTCAAACAATCCCTTGGTTTCAGGAGCTGGGGGTGGCACAGCTTTGTCAGATAAGGCAGCATCTGGGGCCTCTAAATGCTCTGCATGCCCTTCATCACCTGATTCTTTCTCAAGGGAAGCAGATTTCATGATGGACTCTGTCAGAGAACTTCCTTGTGCCTCTGTTATGTCTGTTTGTTCCTCCTTTTCCTCTAATCCTTTTTCATTGACCTCAACATCTTCAGGGCTTTTGACACAGCCATCTCCAGATGAAGATGCCTTCTCTGTATTTGTCGCTTCAATGCTCTCAGAGACAGTGACTGTCGCACAAGTATCCCCTTGTCCAGATTCTGTGCCTGACTGATGGCTGTCATCAGATTTAGTTGTTTCACCTTTAAAAATACCAAATAGGTCACTGGTAAGGGATTCTGTAGCAATGCTACTTGGGAGTCCAAAAAATGAGCTTTTCTGTTGTTGCTGTTGCTGTTGCTGTTGCTGTTGTGGCTGCGGACGAGGAGCAGGTGATGAACCAAAAAGTGAACCAGGTGAACTTGAAAAAAAGCCACCAACAGTTGGTGATTTACTTGGGGCATTTGGGGTAGAAAACATAGACATAAAGCCAGAAAATTGAGCTGGTTCAGGAGGCCTCTGTGGTCCTGCCTGTCTTGGTCCAGCCATTCTTGGTCCAGCCATTCTTGGTCCAGCCATTCTTGGTCCTGCCATTCTTGGTCCGGACATTCTTGGGCCCCCCATCCGGGGCCCTCCCATTGTTGGTGCTCCCATTCTTTGTCCTTGTGGGCCAGGGGGCCTTGCCATGCCTGGTCTTGGCTGTTGCTGTTGTGGAGGAACTGCATGTCCCATTGAAGGGTCTTTTAAAGGACCCACAGCTTGAGATATCATGATTTCTGCTGAGCTGGAACCTACAGTTTCTTTCTCATCTAATGACGAGACCACTGCAACAGAACTTTCACTTTCAACAGGTTTCTCCAATTCATGCACAAGTTCGGTGCTAGGTTCTGCAAGCTCTAATTTAGCCTCAATTGGTACCTTGGTAGTCTGGTCAGAGGTCGATTGCAAGTTCTCTTCAATAGATGGTTCAGATTTTGAAATTGCATTCTCTGTTGCAACAGCACCCATTACAGATTCAGATGTAGGTTGTTCGGTAACTGCTATTACTGAATCAGCTTCATTTAGCTTTTCAGTAGATGTATCCAGATCCGCAGCTGCTTGTTCACCAACAACTTTCAAAGGTTCCTTAGTTAATTTTTCCACATCAGCAACTGATGTTTGTTCCTCAATATCTACTTTCAATATCGCCTCTGTAGATTTTTCCACATCTGCAACTGATGTTTGTTCCTGAATATCTACTTTCAATATCACCTCTGTAGATTTTTCCACATCTGCAACTGATGTTTGTTCCTGAATATCTACTTTCAATATCACCTCTGTAGATTTTTCCACATCTGCAATAGCTGTTTGTTCTTCATCAGCTTTTAACGACCCCACAGTTTGCTTTTCTATCTCTGGAATTGTTAGCTCTCCATCAACAATTTCCCCATCTTCCACCTCAACAACATCTAATCCTCGGGAATTTTGAGTACAATCCAAAACACTTTTCAATTGCATATCGTCAGTTTTTTCTATTGGGCTTTTAATGGCAGCTATGTCACTTTTGTCATCTATGCTTGTATCTTTAAACGTTTCTTTTCTTGATTCAACAACTTCTTTCTCAGCATCCTCTGTATCTTTTATTTCTAGATGTTTATCTTTGTTGTCTGACTGTTCCCCGTTTACTAGATTTACATCTTGTGATGTCTCCTTCTCTACTAGTTTACCAGTCACATTTGGTGCATCTGGGATTGAAGCCTCCACCACAACAGAAGCATTTTCATTACAAGAAAGGTTTTGTTGCATTCTGGGTATTTTGTCCTCCTCTGACAGAAGATTTGTTGGGGACAGAGTTTTTTCAGTGGTATCTTTATTGATGTCCAATGTTGAATCTTGACCATCTTGGCATGCATTCTCTACTTTTGGTTCCACCTTAACTAATGCTGTAGAAAGAGGCTCAGAACATACATTGTCCACGGCCTCAACCAGTTGCCGCTTTGCTTCTTTGGTAAATTCTTCTGTTTGTAGGGGTTTCTCGTGTTCCGAGGGAATCTCCCCTTTTACAACTGTTTCTGGCTCTGTCTTGGTTTCCTCCATGAAAGACATTCCAAATAGTCCAAACCCAGATTTAGATTTATTACCATCCCCGCCAAGTGAGAACACAGAGGAAACTTTAAAACCAGCCTCCGATTCAGCTGGTTTAGAAGCTGCCGGACTAGCTTCTGATGCTTGTTGGTTTTGTCCACCAAACATGGAAAATAGTCCTTTTCCTGAAGGCTCTGGAGCTCTGGGTCCTTGTATTGTAGCTGTTGGTCTGGGTGGGGGTACTCTAGGTCCAGTTTGGGGCTGGGCACTGAGACCTCCAAACTTTGAAAACAACCCTGCACCAGGAGTTTCTTTATTTGTAGTAGAACCAGGGAGGATGCCACCAAATATGGAAGATCCAGTAGAAGGTCCTCTTGGTGCGGCACTACCCCCAAGATGACCTCTGGGACTAGGTGGTTGATGGGGTGTAGATGCACCAAACATTGAAAACAAGCCTTTGCCTGGAGGTTCTTTGGGTACAGGACCTCTTGGTCGCACACTTCCTACAGTTGGACCTCTTGGGACAGGCGTAGGCTGACTACTGGATCCACCAAACATAGAAAATAAGCCTTTTCCCTGGGTCTCTTGTGGGGTTGACTGAGGTGGTGGTAGGCCTTTTGATTCAGGTGAAGATGGAGCATTTGACCCACCCAACATTGAGAGTAACCCTGTGCCAGGAGTGTCTTTGGTAGATGACCCAGGAAGAATGCCACCAAGTATGGATAATCCAGTTTGGGAGGGTGTCTGTTGTGGGGTTGCAGTGGAGCCAGTA